CCAGGAGGCTGAGGAGGCAGCGGAGGCGGCACAAGCCAGAGCTGCCAGTCTGGAGAAGGTCAAGCAGAGGCTGCATGGGGAGGTGGAGGACCTCACCATAGACCTGGAGAAGGTACACACACACACACACACACACACACACACAGTCTAGGCTTCAAGAGATCCACTCATGCCTGAAGTTTTGCTTCTTCTGGAACTTTTTGAGGAGTGTACTGTACCTAACTAATACTACTAATACTTATTTCTCACAGGTTTTCTTACTGAACAGATTTACTATACCCCAGTCCTTGGATAAAGGTGTCTGCTGAATGAGTAAATGTTCTATAATATAATGTAATGTCAATGTAGGTAAGACTTTATTGATTGATCTCGTTATCTTTCTCTTTAATCAACTAGTCCAATGCAGCAGCAGCAGCTCTGGATAAGAAGCAGCGGGTCTTCGACAAACTGGCGGCCGAGTGGAGCCAGAAGAATGAGGAGCTGCAACTGGAACTGGACAGCAGCCAGAAGGAGAGTCGCTCCTACATGACGGAGCTCTACAAGCTGAAGACGGCCTACGAGGAGAGCCAGGATCTGATAGACAACGTCCGCAAGGAGAACAAAATCCTCTCAGGTGCCTTCTAGCTGCTGCAGATCCTGTGGCACAGGAGATTATAACGGGAGAAGTGTGAGAGATGCAATGGAATCTGAAACAAATGTATATAACATGCTTTTTTTTCATTATGTACTGGCTCCCCTCTCAGAGGAGATCAAGGAGCTGGTCGACCAGCTTGGCGAAGGAGGCCGCAGCGTCCACGAGCTGCAGAAAGCCAAGAAGAAACTGGAGGTGGAGAAGGAGGAGATGCAGCTGGCTATGGAGGAAGCAGAAGCTTCATTAGAGGTGCAAAACGCTCTTATGGCCAAGAAACAAATGTGCCTTGTGTGGAGTGACTCCCCCCCCCCCCATTCACAGGTGCATGTGGTGTTTTGTGTGTGTCCAGGTGGAGGAAGGTAGGCTGGTGCGTTTGCAGCTGGAGCTGGCTCAGGTCAAGGCCGACATCGACCGCAGAATCCACGAGAAGGAGGAGGAGTTTGAAGTCACCAGGTCAGACAAACTGCGACATGCACGGACAATCATGTGTTCAGTCTACACACACACAGACACACACTTCACAAACCACATCAATGGTCAAACAACATCTTTCATCAATGGACAAACTATATCTTTCTGTGTACTTTTGAACACGATATCTCAAGAACATCTCAGTGGAATGAATTAATCAGATTTCGGTGGTTTAAGGTGGAAGGATAAGGTCACAGTGCCCTCCTGCTCTTGTGATTGATAATATATATGGAATATATATAATATATATACCTCCTGTGTGTTTGCGCGGTCTAGAAAGAACCATGCTCGTACAGTGGAGTCGCTGCAGGCCAGTCTGGAGGCGGAGGCCAAAGGTCGTGCCGAGGCTCTGAGAATGAAGAAGAAGATGGAGGGAGACTTGAACGAGATGGAGATTCAGCTGGAGCATGCGAACAGGAACAACGCTGAGCTGGTCAAAACCCTCAAGAAGCTGCAGCAGCAGATCAAAGTAGGTGTTTTACTTGAGGTGGAACGTGAAAACAACTTCTAAAGTTACCACAGTGGGGAAAATAGTGCAGCGATCATTTTTTGTGCCCAACCCCCTCCACCCCCTCCACCTGTAACCCAGGATCTGCAGGTGCAGATGGATGAGGACTCCAGGCAGCACGAGGAGCTGCGGGAGAAGTACAGCCTCCAGGAGCGGCGTCTGTGTCTCATGCAGGGGGAGATGGAGGAGCTGAGAGGAGGCCTGGAGGCGTCCGAGAGGGCCCGCAAACTAATAGAGCAGGAGCTGGTGGACACCACAGAGAGGCTCAGTGAGATCAACATGCAGGTCAGTGGCTGCACAGGAGGGCTACAGACAAATGATGGGGTTTTCATACAATTTTCCATTTTGAATTACTGTAGGTAATTTAGTAGTAGTGTTTATTTGGATTCATCCGTCTTCTCTTGTAAATGTGAGGACAAATCATTTTCCTCTCGCACTAGAACCAAAGTCTGACGATCCTGAAAAGAAAACTGGAGGCTGAACTCACCCGGCTGACCAGTGAGAACGAGGAGCTGATCTCAGAGTTTCGTGCTGCTGATGAAAGAGCCAAGAAGGCTGTGACTGACGTGAGCCACCTGACTACACACGAGAAAAAGAAACACAGAAAGTTTTAAACCTACATATCATGGCAAAGGCATAACACTTTTTGGGTAAGTTCAAAATTGTGTTGGTATTTGTGTCTGTGTCCAGGCAACAAGACTCTGTGAGGAGCTTCGACAGGAGCAGGATAGAAGTGCCCACCTGGAGAAGATCAAGAAGAACCAGGAGCAGAATCTCAGAGACATGACTCTGAAGCTGGAGGAGGCTGAGCAGCAGGCGCTGAAGGCCGGAAAACGTACCATCCAGAAACTGGAAACCAGGGTGAGATGGATTCACTGTGAGAGTTGCAGAGGAAAGGAGGTCACACTCCTATTCACCAGGATCAGGCCTCTCAAACACCTTTACATCATTTCCCCCCTTTATTATTCTAGATCAAGGAGGTGGAGAACGAGCTGGACCAGGAGCAGAAACGCCACCTGGAGACTGTGAAAAACCTCCGTAAGGGAGAGCGTCGACTCAAGGAGCTGATCTTCCAGACGGAGGAGGACCACAAGACCAACCAGCGCATGCAGGAGCTGGTGGAAAAACTCCAGAACAAGCTCAAGTCCTACAAACGGCAGATTGAGGACGCTGTGAGTGAGAGAGCCGACACGGGATTTAAACTGTAGTAGTTTGAGTCTGAAGTGTGTGTTCATTTGATACTGAGACAAACTTCTCGTTCCTGTCACTGTAGGAGGAACAGGCCAACAGCAGCCTGTCTAAGTACAAGAAGACGGTCCACGAGCTGGATGACGCAGAGGAGCGTGCAGAAATGGCAGAGATGACCCTGAACAAAATAAGGACCAGGAATCGAGCCTCGACCATGAAGGGCTTCACCTCGGTGGAGATTGTCCAGGTCACTAAGCCCAGCAGCGGAGGACAGGACAGCTAAAGTGGACACACACATAGCTAGAAGGTGGGCACACACACACACACACACACACACACACACACACACACAACATGGAGATAAACTACCTGAGCATGTGCTTATATGTGTCTTTTTGCCCCCCCCCCCCACAGTGACACACACTCACTCAGCCCTCTGGAGGACACGTTGTGAGGACGTACGAGCACAGGCACCCAGAAGACAGTCTTAAAAATATCCCAGACAGAAAACCTTAGAAAGTCTTAAACAAGTAAACAAGTCTCTAACATCACCAATAGTCTTAATCAGTATACTCATAGGACTGGTCACGTAGCCTGTTCCTGTTCATTTTAGCCTGCATGCAGTTTTACTGTTAGATGTTTGTCTGAATGAACCTGAAGGTGTTTTTATGTCGCGTCTGACCTTTCCCCTCTCGTGGCTCTGTACAGGTTGTCTGATCCCATATTGTCTGTTTGACAGTTTTTTTAAAAATGTGTTTATAAATGTGTCCGAGTGCCGAACATCCTCTCGGTTCGTGTCCTCGGACCGGAGGGAGGAGTGGGTGAAGCTGCGTTCTCATGTCAACGATAGAGAGCCCACCTGTGTGTGTCGCTCCTGCTATGAAGTCTTAATAAACTACAAGCAAGCAACAGTGCCGTCATGTCGTCCATCTTTGGTGCTGGTACTACGGTCCATGGTGTAACTCTGATAAACTGAGGCTGTGACAATCATTTTGAATATTTATAAGTGAAGCCAGGTTATATTCAGCTTTAACAACAAGTCGATCATTCACGCAGTTCAAGAAACGATTACAGGATCATCTTCTGGTTGTCAGTGCTTTTCTTAGTGAACCCCAAACACCAGTGTAATAACAACAAAAAGGCACCTATCTCATACATCAAGATGGAATTTATTTATATTCGTTTTAGTTTCAGATGAATGTTTCACATTTTATACAAAATCATTAGAAAATGCCTGACACGCCAAAATCCCACAGCTAATCCTCGTTTACTAGATTCAGACACCAAAGGATCGATGGGGTGGGGGGGGGTCATGCAGCATCCTGGACCAGGTGATGGCGCTCAGCCTGCGGTCCCTGTTCAATCCAAACTTTAATCCACAGTTCACTCAACTTGGCCGCACGCCCACTGTCCCAGAGTCTTTGACCTGACAACATGACACAGTGATATCTTGCCACATCTAGTTATGTACAGAGTATAGATACTGCGGGTGAGGAGGGGGAGGGCCTGATCATCACCCAAATATCTCTGATGTACGGACACAGTAGCACACCAACACCACCATGCATGTTTTCATACACATGACACATCATTGGTTATGATTGGTTAAGTAGTAGTTTTTTAAAAAGCTCATTAATACCAATGTTTGAAATCAACCAATGACTGCAGGCCTCAGGAGGGAGGGGCAGGCAGGAAGGTCTATCGAGCCTCTGATTGGATGAGGAAGGAGTGAGCGGGGAACAGGTGGAGGCTAATTACTCACTGCTGCTGATATACATGCCTGGCAAACACACACACACACACACACACAAATAAGGTCTCATAAACACCTCTGCCTCACGCATCAAGCCTCCACATGACTCTTTCAAAAGTGAACTCGACTGATGCCACGCTCTTAGCAGGAGAGCGTGCGACTGTGTGTGAGAGAGGAAGGGGTTAGAAAAGATAGTACACACCCTCGATTAAGATCCAACAACTGAAAATAGATTTTATTGAGCCAATGTGAAAAGATCTCCCTCTCAGACAGAACGCACCAGGACACTGGGGCAGAGAGGCACTTACACAATCGCTTTCATTTCACACAGTGCTTGTGTCAATGTGTGCGTCTTTCGAGAGACACGGCTACATTTTAAAAAAAAATCAAATGTCCAATAAGCACACACACAGACGCCGTTTTCACATTGGAGCATGTAATTAGCGGTTGGCACATGTACATGCAAAAGCATCAGTTTGGCCTGCGCAGGCGAAACTGGGGGTAAAGGAAGCAGAGGAAAGGTGGGGAAGGAGGGATGAAAAAGATAAGACATGGATATGAAGAGACAAACGCACAGATAGACTGACGCACAGGCTCTTGAACGCTTTGAGCGTTTTAAAAACACCCCCCTCCCTCCTCTTTGATTCTGCCCCCGCCCCCCTTGTGTCACATGTTTGTAGCAGCACCAGAGGAGCCCTCTGATTGGTGGGAACAGCCGTTTCGTAAAGTCAGTCAGTTTCAAGGATGAGCGGCGGTTGCTCGTTCTCCTCCTCTAGGCGCAAGTCGTTGAGGTCATCGTCTAGGCCCGCCCCTCCAACGGCGCCCTGCTCTTCACAGTAACCTAGGACACAAAAGTTCAAAGGTCAAATGCTGAAAATAAAAATAAGCACATCACTTGGAAAACTAACGAAGGCGACTCACCTTTAGTGACAGCAGCACTGTAGGTTTGGGCCACGAGTGGGCGATCATGTGACCCTTGATCAAGGATCTCATTGGATGGTTCAGTAGTGCCATCTAACCTGAGGTCGATAGAGAACACAGATTCAGTCGGGGTTGGGTGATGTCTACTGAATTGGCAATAACAATGTGAACAGTGAAACATCGCAGTGTAGAAAACAGCCACTGGGACTGAGCGTCGCTGTCATCAGTTCAAATTACGAACACCCTCGTGGTTCGTTGTATCAGCTGTAACTGATTAACTTGATGGGAGCCCTCAACTTGGCCGTTATCACTATCAGTGTGTGTTCCCTGCACACAGCTGTCGTGTGGCTGCGTAACACGACTGCACCAAGTGTCCATATCCATGTTATTCTATAAAGCTGCTTTCAGACATGCAGCAAACTCTGGATGCTTCCCTGATCAAATGTCTGTAAGATGTCTGTACGAGCCCATGTGAGAATAGGAAATTGTGTGTGTGTGTGTGTGTGTGTGTGTGTGTGTGTGTGTGTGTGTGTGTGTGTGTGTGAGAGAGAGAGAGAGCTACCTGTGCTGCTTCATGAGTGTACATTCTCCTCCCTCTTGTGGATCCAAGTTGTACAGGTACAAATAACCATCAGCTGCAGCAACCAGCAACCTGGGAATCTTCTGAATCCTGATTTCAAACAATAAAAATTATTGTTCACAAACATCTTATATTAAATAAGAGATATAATATTATTACCCTTCAGCCCAATGTATACTGAAATTATAATAACCATTTATTATATTTATAACCAACCAAAAAAATGTGCAGATGACCAATAGGTTTTTTATCGAAATCAACCATACACTGCCTCTAATGCCAATTTGAAGCACAAATGAATGAAAATAAATAAATAATAAATAAAAAGGCACAACACAGATTTGCATGAGCGCATGTGGCCCACACAGACTGGCCCTTACACAGCTAAGGCGCAGATGTTCTTGTGTCCACAGAAGGGCAGACGTACGGTGGCGAAGGCTCGCCCCTGTGTGAACATCTCGGTGACCTGGGAAGGCAGGTAGGTGGTGGATGCCATCAGGACCTTTCCCAGATACCCTCCCCAAGTGGTGGGCTCCTCCGCAGGCCTACACACAAACATACACACACACACAATATGAGAACCAACGTGCAACATGACGAAAAGGTAAACAGGAAGGAAAACCCAGCCCAGCGCCTCAGAAGTCTTAAAATCAGCTGAGTCAGAGAGATACATACACATACTTCTCCTTCTGTGTTTCTAATTTGAAGATGTGGACCGTCTCTGTGTTGCTGGAGGCCGACAGGTACAGGCCTTCAATACTGAATGCCAATGAACAAATGCTCACACACCTAAGAAGACAGAGATGTTAACACACAGGGAAGCAGGTGAACACACAGTGCATAGGAACGTGCAAATACAGAAACAAAATCACAACCGACCATCTCAGTAAGTCAGATTGTTTTCTGAAAAACTGTAGTAACACATTATATCATTAAATATGTTCTACCTCTTGACTCCTCGCCGAAATTCAAAGAGCTTCTGTCCCTCTGGGATTGAGAAGACACGAATCACTGTCCCCTGGGGGGAAGTGAAAGAAGAGGATGACAACCCGCAAAAAGGAAGCAACAACAAGGACGTGTTTGTGCTCAGACGGAGAAAGACAAATAAGGCCCACAGATAACACACAGGCCGAGGGCACTGGACAGTGTCCTACCTTCTCTGAGGCTGTGGCTAGCTTGGTTCCACTGGCATCGAAAGCCAGAGCCGCTAACGGGCTGTCGTGGGCTGGAATCATATTAGCAGCTCGCTGAAAAAACAAAATCTCACTTTAGTTAGAGATTAATTACTGGAGACAGATAAATTAACAAATGATGATCAGCTTTGACTGAAAAAAATAAAGACAGCAGAGTCTGGATGAACATGCTTCAGCTCTTTAGTTTTAACTTTATGTGTTTGTGTTCACCCACCAGGTTGACAGTGTCAAACACTTGAACCTCTCCTATCGTTGCACTTCCCGGGTACGCCAGGTAACAGTTATCATTGCTGATAGAAAGGGCACACAATCCTGGAGAGGGGTGGAAACAAATAGAAAATCATTGACAAAATGTAAAACGCAGCAGAAACACATTTATCTGAACCGGACAATGTGTAAAACTGAAAGTGAAATAATAATTTGCATATGTAGTAAAACTGTTATTAAACTAGAAACTTGTTCCGGCAGAACCGTTTTCTTTTCTTTGTTCTGTGGATGTTAAAGATACAGCAGCGGCAGATTTCAGACCTTAGGGCAGCAGCAGTCAGAACAAATGACAAATGAACAGGCTAAAAATGAAAGAGAAACCCAAAGCCTGAGGAGAGAAAGACCCATATCTGGTTAAAGTATGAGCACACAAACTGTACAGGGAAAAAAACTCACATTTAAATATCTTCTTATGAACCTTTCACTGTCGTACATGCTATATATTGTTGTGTTAATGAATGTACTCCCTCACCTGAAGGGTTGGGGGGAGTCTCTCTGATAGTGTGCAACACTTTCATGTCTCGGATGTTGTGAATGTACAGTGACTCCTCCAGACACACGATCAGCCTCTGCGGAGGGACGACAAAACATCAACATTTAGGCCTTTTTCCACCGGTCAAAAAACCCTGTAACATCTGCCGTTTGTCTGGAACAACAATGGATACAATGGCCATTTAATCCCAAGTACAATATCTCTGCTGTAGACAGGCCCAGATCGGCAGTGATGGAAACTTGACACCCACTGTCTTTCCTTCTCCGCATCATGCAAGACACAACACGTACAATTTCAGCGTGTTTGTGACCTCGAACATGACTCACCGGCAGAAACAAAACAGAAAGGCAAACTCCTCTTCTAGCAATGGGAAAGGAATCAATTTTACCTCATTGGGTTTACTCTTATTTAAAAAAGTATATCCGTTGCATTTGGTGTCAAGAAGGTATTAACATTTGCTTGAGATAAAGAAGTCATTCAAGTCGGCTGCTTGATGAAGAGGTTATTGAGACACAGGTATTTCCTCCCACCTGTCTGTTGAGTTTGACGGCCAGTATGGTGTTGGAATAGGAGTAGTTGCAGATCTCAGTTCCCTTCTTGAAGTGACAGACTTTGAGCTTCCTGGGGGCCTTCAGGCTGACAATGGCCACCAGGCTGCTGGAGAACAGACGCTCCACGATGCACACATCCTCTGTGTCTGCTGCACACACACAAAATGTAATTACAGCTGTCAGTAGCATCCTCTTACTTTTTATTGCTGAATCACATGATAGCGGATAACAACATGTGTGGGGGCAGTTTTCTTTGTGACCATGCCAAGAGTGGTATGGCTTTAATCATTGAGTGAGTGTAGTAGTGTCTGTACATACCAAGCTATATTTATGAAATCGATAAAGCAATAACTTTATCAGTTAGTTATAGCTAATAGAACAGATGGGTGCATATTAAAGGATGCTGCAGAGCTCTTATCACAATGTATGTGATGTGAATGGACTAGTGAAGAGGACGGCTCATGTTAGAATATATTAGAGGAATGCTGACAAACGTTATTAATATTTAAGAGCAATCCTCTGATTGTGTTCTCAGCAGCATGCATTAAGCACAGTAACTTGAAATTACTCTGCAACAATATTACATCGTAGTGACGCAGTTATTGTAGAAGAACGTGTGTATTTTGTATTTACTGTACTTTTACTTACTACATTCATAAATCTGCTCCAGCTTGTCCACAGAGGACAGAGAGAAAAACTTGTATCCTGATTTGGTGCCAACAGCTAAAGACCTAAAGACAAAAGAGACCAATGGGAAACATTGATCAGAGAGATTTCACACACAGACTGGACACTGTCATTATCACAGGACTTCACACCAGACACCAGGGGGGCCTGTGTCAGTGCCAGGACTCAGACAGTGAGCACACGGCTGCAGGTGTTTTGCAATAGGCACCAGGCCTCTGTGGTCTCCAGCAGCCACCGCAGAAAAACAACATGTGTGTGACATGTGTTGCTTCAGCTCGTCAAAGATAAACGAACCTCTACAGGCGACCATCGTTACCTAACAGGGCTGCTGTAGCGACAGTCCTGGAGAACAGCAGCCGGGAAACGGTGGCGTCTCCACCGCTACTATAGTCCGTCAATTACATAAATGAGTAAATTTACCCACAACTTACATGACACCCAGCCTACATGTGTATTGTGGCTAAAGTTAGCCTCGGACCACACATAGCTCACGTTAGCTACACAGCTATGCTAGTGACGGGGGAAATAAAGCATATGTGGACATTGTGTTAGCTAGCTAGCTAGCACCGGGGGGGTGTTAGTAGCCTCGTCTCCTGTGAGACACCCCGTCCTGACTTCCTGTCGCCCGGCCACAAGCACAGTCCACACTCAGCTAGCTACCGTCAGCTAGCTTGACAGCACAGGCCGACGGACCCTCGCCGTCCCCGGCCCTGCCTTACGTGTTGTCCTGGTTAAAGTTGGCGAAGAGGAGCTGGCTGCCGCCAGCGTCCCCGCTCTGACTGGCCAGGTTCATGGACTCGGCGCCGTCGACATATAAACGCTCCGGAGGAAACAGCAGCGGTCGAGTGTGTGATGAGGATCAGACGCGTGAAGCTTCACGGGTCCATCTTTCTCCGCTGGCCTCTGATTGTTGTTGTTGCTCGCAGGTCGCTACTGCGCGTGCGCACAGGACGCAGCGTGAGGAGCGTCTTAAAGAGACAGGAGCCATTTCTTGACATGGAGCTGTCAATCAAAAACACATCAGCACGTTCAGCAAGAGGATCAAACAATATTCTTGTTTCCAGAGAAACATCTGGAGTCAACATCTGGAAACATCCTGCAGACACTCAGTGACCTCATCCCACACCCACTGTCAGTATGTGCAAACTGCACAGGACATGAGTATACATGTAAATACATTATTAGATAAATGTAGAAATACAGAAATACACAATTAATACTTTTGGTTTCTTAATTTCATTATTAATTTATTTGCTTTTTTCTACTGTTCACACGTGTGGTTTATACATAGGTTTGAATGATTTATTTCATTACTGTTATTGTTTCGTACATTCTATGTCACAGGGAACTCAATCTTCAGACCCAAGTTCATAACTTTTCAAAACAAAAGCTTGATATTAAGCACTGCAGCAGCAAAACGAAAGTTGTGCTTTTACACTGGAGACAAATTGCCAAACAGGAAGAGTGTCAGTCTGACAACGTGATATAAAAATAATGATAATATCTAAAGTCTCACAGTTTGACTCAGTTGCTGACTGCAGCTTTTGTTTACCTGGGGACGTAGAAGAAGACAATTTGGTCCAACTGAACTGAAGAAACGCTGCCCCACCCACACTGAGGTCACCTTTTTATTCAATTTGTATTAATATTGAACATATCACTTAAATCAAATTGCAGCAAATTTGACTCTGCACTTCGCTGGACCATTAACAGCACACACGCCAAGTGTGAAGCTGATAAGATGAACACTTTGTGAGATTTGTGTGTCATATACAGACAGACAGAAAGATGCTCGTAGAATTAGCAGGGAGATATTTGTGAAAACCTTCCTTTCATTTCATCAACACTATTGTTCAAGGATCTCTAATCGATTCTCTCCTGACCGGCCTGTTTTTTCCACATGAACTGTCTTTGAAGAGAGCACGAGCGTGATACAGTGACGACAGTAACGACTGGAACACCAGGATCCCGGGCTCGGGATGAGAAGGACACACTGACTGATGTGATGCCTTTGACTGGAGTGTAATTTGGGCTGTGAGTCACAGATCTTGTCTGCGTGTATTAGTTTCATCACGTTGTCAGTTGTGGGTTTGAGCGTGTGACTGATACCAACGATTGAAACAACAGGAAGCTCGGCAGTTGAGAAGATTCTTAGTGAGACAGACTCAGCAGACAGCTGCCGCTCATCCTGTGTGCGGATCTCACAGAACAAAAGAAGGATGTCGAGTAGAAACACTGTCAGTATAAAAAGGCAAGAAAAGAAAGCAGCACATCTGAGAAGATATCAGTCCATCATGAGGAACACTTCAACCCCTCATTAACAAATACCTCAATAGAGTCTGTATTAACTCACACGTCGTCCTTATAAACACAAATTGTAGAGTGAATTCTCTGAGAGGCCTCTGCTCTGTTACAGTGTGTAGATAAAACTTTTTCATTTATCATTGACAATATCCTGCTTGCTGTACATCATTAACATTAACATTGTTAATAATGATAATAAAAATGATACTACTGATTATACCAGGATTTGGTCACTTAAAATAGATTTAATACAGCGTTAATCTACATGATCAACACACACACACACACACACACACACACACACACACACACACACACACACAGTTTGCCATATTTACAGTGTATTATTTACCTGTACAAATATGCTCATGCCCTCTGTCCACTGATATTTTGAATGTTATCTTTAAACACAGCCGTGGAGGTAAATGTGTAACACATTTCGTTGGCAGCGTGGAAACTCATTTGGATGACTGTGTGTTTGCATAATGTGTCTGTTCTGTTTCACACAGCTGCTGCCACAGAGGGCTGCTGCTGTCCACTGTTATTGTTGGACAATATTTAATTTTCCATTCAGTTTGTGTGTGTGTGTGTGTGTGTGTGTGTGTGTGTGTGTGTATGTGTGTGTATGTGTGTGTGTGTGTGTGTGTATGTGTGTGTATGTGTATGTGTGTGTGTGTGTGTGTGTGTGTGTAAGATGGTTGCTCTAATGCAAAATTGCCAATTTCCTCTTTTCTTACTGGAAATGTGGCTGCGGAGCTCGAGATAAAGTGGAGCCACATCTTTTAAAACATGAGTAATGTCATGTACAGCATATCTGTTACTTCAAAAGTATTTTAACATTTCAGAATGAAAAACTGATAATCTAGTTAATGATTAAACAAGCACTGGTTTGTAAATCTTCACACTGCGGTTCTATACTGTAAATGTATATTTTAGTTTTATATTTTGGAATAATACCAAACAAACTCCTTATCTCTCCGAAAGAGAGATAGTTTTATTTAAATTTATAGGTGTATAACTGATCCGCTGTCGCTTGCAATAATTTCGCAATATTTTATTTTATATTCTCTCCTCTTTGTTCTGTGCTCGAATTCTGTATGAGCTTCAAACTTGCTTTTAAATAGTTTCCAGTTGTTAGATTCAAAAAAAATAATTTCCCATCTTTGAACTGTGTTTCCAGAGGAGCTTTATAATCACAGCTGCTCTTATCATCTACTATCACACTCGGCCGCATTGTAAAAGAGATCAATGAGTCGAAATAAAGGTTTAATGACTGAGTGAACGTGAACTTTTCTCTGTGTCCAACATGTTCACGTCAGCAGCAGTGAGCTGCAGCCAGTTGGAGACGTGTTGTGGGGAGGGGCTGCTGTTTGCTGCTGTGTTATCATCAGGGGGTGGGAGGGGAGGAGGGGTTACAAGCCCGGTCCCGCGGAACATCCTGCAAACACATCCGAGACTCTGACTAAACTCTGCACAGCTCCCCCCCTCATCCAGTCACTGTGCGCCGCGCATCGCCTGCGCTCCGCCGCGCTCCGCCGGATGGCTGCGGTTGTTTGGTCTCCAGAAAAGACCAAACAACACTCCGGTCAAAAGTCGATCAGCTGAACAGTGGAGCGACTCTGCAGGTCGTTGTCCCCGCTGGACTTATGTGTTTGTGTCTGGACGCACGGCGGTGGGACATCCGGAATGGGGACGAGGCTCGCTGCTCTGGCACCGACGGGGCGCGAGCGCACCAACGCGTTTCGCGCTCACGACCCACGCACGCACGAGATGGACTTTAAGAAGAATACATTTGGAAGGTAACGTAATTTAGTCTGGAGAGTTTGGCAGCAAAAATATCTGGCACCATAGTTTCTCATGTGCGACGGACCCATGTGCATCCATGCGCACTGGCAAGGCGCTGGCACAGGGGCAATCAGAGGGATGTTATAGATTAGTGTGTGTGTGTGTGTGTGTGTGTGAGAGAGAGAGAGGTTGGCTAACAGCTCTGACTGATGAACTATTTCAGTTTTCAGTTTTACTGTCAGAATCAAACAAATGAATTAAGTTTGTTCCAATTAGAATGAACACAGTTTACTATAGTTTGACTAAATATTTTGTTTAAGTTGACATTCAATTTTCCAGTGTGCTATCCAGAATCTGTTGTTGAGTATATTCACTATAGAAACCAAATTATAAATGAATCCACGTAATTCATTTAAAGGATATATCCTTATATTTGTGTTGAGGCTGTTGATGATCATGTGAGGATGTTTAAAAACTGAAACTGTTTAAAAACTTAATAAACAACTGATATGAATAAAAGAACTGAATAATAGTTGGAGTGATGGTAGTGGAAAGGGGCAGCTACAATCATAGATAAACACTTGTTATTAAAAGAAGTGAGGATAACACTTTTTACCACAAAATGAAACTGTGAAATTAGAGTTAACACTAAGAAAGGGACATAAAAGTGACAAACTAACAGCTGACCAGTTGTTGTAAAAAAGAAAATAACAAACAAACCTAAAATGTTCAGTTTAATTCAGCTCCTCTGACAAGGCTTGTGTGTGTGTGTGTCTGTGTGT